CATTTTCCAATGCGTGCCAATTGAAAACAAAGAGTTTGTTCCAGGAAATTCATTCTCGAGTTGTAATGTGATGATCACGTTTAAAATATTGCTTAGCAGCTACGCTCAGGAAGGTAAAAAAAAATATATAAATCGCCCACCCAACTAGCACGATCAGGAAAAAACGTAAAAGTATCATTTTGTTTGTCTGGGGAAACCACAGCATGGATTACTTGAGCTGGGTGCAAGTCATTATAATCCAGATGAAGGGAGCTCTGAAGATGACACCTGTAATAACGTGCTGCCTCCGACCCAAAGACAGAATGTCATCATGAAGTGCAACTTCATATCGCTCGCTGTGAGAGAGCCCCAGGCAAAATTATGATGTCAGATGTACCCTGCAAACACTGGGAAATATAATGAGCCCAAGTTCACCATACTTTTTGGGCAATGATCACCATGCCTCTGTGGCAACAACACTGAGCAATAAATCCAGCAAGCCTCGCCACACGAAGGCTGCTTGATCTGCTACTGAGTGAGCCAGAAGAGTATTTTTTTTTGCCAAAAAGCTGCAGGTAGTGTTACTTTCTGCAGAGATTACAAATATAAACATGATCTTTATGTATATAGGGTAGCACAAAGGTCAAGACACGTAGGGTTATTATCATCTTTATTTTACGAAATCGCAGAGCTGCCTTCTTTATCGTACGTAAAATGAATTGAACTCGTTCGTCTTGAGACAATTTCCACTCCAGTTTTAAATGTCATCTGAAAAGGAAGAAGAATAAAAATAGATATTAATAATGATAAGAGATAAAATATGAACTTAAAGGATAACCAATTAAAATGTTTTAATGCCAATGTTAAAATAAATGTAATAACCCTATGTGCCCTGACTTTGGGACCACTGTATATATGTATATGAACACGATTAGAGTCTGTTGACAGCAAAAAGTCTATCTTTCAAGGGATACAAGAGGCACGCCATCTGGTGTAAAGTGTAGTGTGTAACACAATTGTTAAATATAATCGGTCATCATGTGCTTACTTGTGTGATTGCCCAAATATCAACATTTGAATTCCCGAGTCTCCATAAAACAGGGGAAGCACTATATTATTGGTTCTTTCGGTAAAGTCACCACGTAGAAGGGAAACAATAAAATAATAAAACATATAAAACAGTTTCTTTATTTCAGTTTATTTATTTGGTATTGCCCTGTGAGCCATTCGGCTCTTGAATCGGTTGCAACCACAACAAACAAACAAAACACGAACAAGAAACACATCTTAAAGTGACTATGTTCATCTGTTTACATGAGGATTTATGATTGTATAACTACGTGTGTCGAGCAGGTCATTCAAACAAACTTAATAATAAGTAGTAATAACAAACATTTGAACAACTAATATTTTTACCTACCGTGTTTTATTTTTTTAAGTTCACCTGCTGTACGGGGGGGGTGTTTAATTTTTCTCGTAATTTCATTGGCTTTAACGTTGCGTTTGTTTGTTTTCTTTAAGTCGGCCAAAAAAGTCTCCGTAATATGCGTGCACATCGTCTTGCCCTGGCAGCTACGGAACCGGGTCTTGTTTTTTTTTTCCCCCATAGAAGGCTCGCCCACTGCTCAGCATGAATCTCTTATGCTCACCACGCAATCATCTCGCAACGCACTCGCCATCCCCACATCACCATTGACTCCTAGCCATCTTAGAAGAGCGCATTCCTTATCCTCACGCCTCTGGCCCTGCGATATTTCTCCTGCGATGTCTGGCCGCTATTGTGTACTTGTGTCCACGTGCACACAAGCACACGCTTCATTTTGTATTTGTCTTTAGGCATGACTCTGCGTCCCAACAGTGTGCCAGCACTGTTGGGTGTCTGAGTGGGAAGCACACTCTGAGCGTTACACATCATTGCGGAATAGTAACACAACGCAAATTCACGTCGTCGAGAACCTTTGAAGCCATCTCAACCTGTCTGCCTAGAATGTTACACCCCGAGGAAATAAGAATGCTGCAGGTTTCGGGATATGATCAGTTTTAAATGTCAGCAGACCTTTGTCGATGGGACGGCCCATATTTTTTTTTTGTAAACGGCTGAAGGCTAACTGACACCATTTGTAAATGGATGGTAATCAGCTTGGAGTGACTTTGAATAGGCTCACAATTGCCATTCACGTCTGACCTGTATAAAAAATGTACACCAATTATGGCTCAATATTCTGTCAAGACCTAGTTAAGAGTGCATTCATTCTACACAATTAAGTAACGTTGTGTTACCCTGTCCTTTTATTATTTTGACGGAAAGTCATCATAATTCCCCCGTCATCCCAGTGGGCTTATGTAGCCACCAGCAAGGTTCACGGTTGTGCATACAGCCCCATCTGCCTTCTGACCGTCGGCAAATATGCACGTTAATCATCTTTCTTGATAAACTTACACCCCGCCCACCTGAGTTTGGTGAATACATGTGAATTCACACGCTTGCATGCTTGTATGTTTGTATGTTGAACTTCCTTCGCACCATACGTAGACAACCATGCTAATTGGAGGGGCACGAGAAGGACAAAAACAAAAAAAAAACCTGTCGCCTCTGTGTACACAGACGCGGTGGTGAGATGTTAACTACCTCGACTGGTATACAGGAGGTCGTGGGTTCGATCCCGACCCCGACGTCTGTATATATATGTAGTGTGCATGTCTGTCCCTGTGGTCGCGTGAATTTTTCTCTGGAGTCCTCCGGATTTTCCCTCCACATTCAGAAACACGCGCTCAGAGTATTTGGCTGCTGTAAATTTCCGCAAGGGTAGGCCACTTCGTTGAGCTGTCATTTGTGGCCAGCTCGCTTCTCAAAGACAGCTCTGCAGCTCATTGGGCCTTACCTGGTAAAAAGAAAAAAGAAAGAGCTTTAGTTTATAGTTTTAGAAACTCCCCCTGCCCTTCCCCCACCATTGTGACCCACGATTACTGAAATCTTCTGCCTCCAGTCAACATATCTCACTCGTCGAGGCAATGGCTGGCGTGTGTCATACGTGACATAATTGTAAGGGTGGTGCTTTTTGAATGGATATTACGAAGCTTTTAAGACACTTCATCTAACCTCTTCAAATGCCTTTACTGACATGCCAACAGACATTATAAATACATTTATAACTCGCATTATGTTTACAACTTGGTGAGCACATGGGGAAGGGTGGAGGGTTATTTCGAGGACACGTGTCAAGGGGCAGAGTGAACTGCTAATGTTGTACGCTTTGTTGAGATTTCTCACAATTGTAAAATTGTAAATAGATCTGCGTTCCATGTTCTTTCTTTAAAAAAAAAACGTTGGCGATCATGGCCATTCTTCCATTTAGCTCCATCTATGATATCACTCAAGAAACGTTGCATTAGTTCAACATACGTACATACATTAGACGGTTGCATCCAATTGTTCAATTTGCTGTTGTAACTTAATGTGCTGCCTTCCCCGCCTTCTTTTGCCTATAATTTCCACAGTCAACACATTACATTCAGTCTCTTGTTTTGTCATCACGTCCAAGAATTATAGCTCATTCCCCATGCATATGAATGGTGAATACTTATTCACGTACACTGCAGTTCATTTTAACTAATATGGGATATCACATGATGGCACAGGACAGGGCAGCATGGAGAAGGTTGACAAGGACAACGGCCCAAACGAGTGGGACAAAATGCGTGGAAGAAGAAGGATATCACATGATGAAACCCTAACGCAAATGAAACAAATATTGTGTGACTATTATTGCATTGGGGAAAACCATTTAATACACATTTCTAGAGCCCATCAAAATAGTTCACGTAATCCGATTGTCATGTTAGAGGAAATGGATACATTGTATTTTTTTTTTACTCACTTAGTTGTTCCACCCCTGACATTTTTACCCAGCATGCCACTGAATTGGCTTCGGGTAAAAATGAAACCATCCGACGGCAATAATTCTCAGTTTGCCCCGCACTGTAACAATATTTCATGCCTGTAACCTCTCATAAGTGCATACTTGGCGAGTTGAGCGAGTGTTTGGAACGATGGCAGATCTGTGTCACTGGCATTTCCATTGCCGTGATGTCAGAAGAGATGGGTGCTTATTAAATGCACACTTTGGCCAGTCCACGCTGCTGGCCCACTGAATTGCCTCAATGCGAGCGCTCTCTTGGCAGCGGCCCTGATTGTGATTGCGTTTGAGCCCCCCTCCCCCCCCCCATTTTACCAGCTTGGAAGCATCTCCCACCCCCCCCTCCCCTTCATCTGTCTCAAAACAAACCCCTAGGTCTGCAGTATTTCTCTCAAATGCTACGTTGCGCACGTTATCGCCGCACGTAAACAGAACGGTAGGGAGAATTCATTCGTCTTACATCGTGCTTGGGAAAGTCGCACGTGATTAATATTGCGCATTTATTTTTTTTTGATGAATTTCAAGGCGCTCGGCTCAGCCTCCAGTGTCGTTGCCAAAGCTCGGCGCTCGCGCCGTGTAAGGTAGGCGGCGTTGGCGCTCGCGCCGTGTAAGGTAGGCGGCGTTGGCATCGCGCCGTGTAAGGTAGGCGGCGTTGGCATCGCGCCGTGTAAGGTAGGCGGCGTTGGCATCGCGCCGTGTAAGGTAGGCGGCGTTGGCGCTCGCGCCGTGTAAGGTAGGCGGCGTTGGCATCGCGCGACACCTCTGCCCTCCTGCCTGACCGTGGGAGGACCCTTCGCGGTCGAGAAAAAGCAACAACAACAACAACAACAAAACGGGGGGGGGGGGGGGGGTAATAAATGCCAAGGCATGAACTAACGGGCGATTTGTCACTCGTTTAATAGGTCAGAGGGAGACAAAGTTTCTCGCGTGCCCTGGCCGGTTGACGTGGTGCAGGCCTGCGTCACAGTGGGGGGTGCGGTGGTGGAGGGGGGGGGGCTGAGAAGGGTGAGCTGGGAGGTTGGGAACTCTGCTTCGTTTTTCAGGCTCATGTGGAGCTGTTTGCTAACCAGTGCTCCCCCTGTGTCCTCCCACCCCTTACTCCAGGCACCTGCACAATAACCAGATCCAGAGCCTTGGTGATCGTTGCTTCAATGGCCTGCACAACCTTGAGACTCTGTGAGTGCGCTTTATAATTAACTTTTTTTTTATCGTATACACCCCGTATTTCTTGGTAATCACTCGGCGCTTAAATGCCAACAACTAGCTCTGCACACCAGAGCCTGTTATATTTCAGGGCATCATTCTGCCTGATAGTACTCTCAGTATGTCGTAACCCAAGGACAATGATACGGCTGTTGCGCTCAGTACTTGACATTTGAACAACATTTACTCATATTTTATGCCACCATACGACCCTGCGCCCATCCAGGCACGAGGCTATTAGTTCAGCCAGCGAATGAGTGTGTGCTTTAAAGTCGTACTGTGAGTCGAATACTTCTGGAACGTAACATCAGTTAGTTAACTACCCTGCAGATGGCATTCATAATGGAATCTGAACCGTGGCACGCTTTGGAGACATTTAACAAAGGGGCACACAAAGGACGTTGCGCTTGCTTTTGTATGGAGCCGTCGACTCTGCCTTGATTTAACTCCTCTCACTCCTTGACAAGTTTAACGGCCGATGGCAATATTCATTATTGCGATATTAAAATGAATCCTCAACCATTGTAACGGCAACCGATTCAACGATGAAACATGATCATTTTAAATCGGGCCAGTAAATAACGTGGCTAATTCTACGACGGAGTTGGCGATTGTCAACAGTAAGATACGTATACAGTGTTCCCTGTTATTGTCCTTGCCCCGCACCTCCTAGACTACATTTGGTGCGATACAAGTTCAACATGCATATGTTATTCACGCACTTGCTCCGCGCGATTTCCGCTTCCTGGGAATCGCATCTGGAACGCTACACGACTGCATCGAGAGAGAAACATAAACTGATGAGATAAACTGACGAGATTATTGACATGTATTTCATGGTTTATTCATGTATTTATCGAAGTTAATTTTCGGGGCCCAATTGTCATTATCGGCATAAAGCGCTATTCTCGAGCATCTCCGGGACATATCCCTCGCGAATAGCGAGGTACTACTCAATGTCTAAATATGGAGCTTATGATAATGTAGAAATTTTTTTTGATATAAAACGTGGCACACACGTGCGACTTGTTTTTGGTTTATGTGTCATGCCCATCACGATGCTCACGGTAACATTTGAAACGTTTCGCACCCGACTTGAGCGGCTACAGTAATTCCCGTCCAGAGATGAGACCGCGAGGTCAGATGCAAGAGCTCAAAGTGAATTTAAAACTGGCTGTGACTACACACGGCACCTTGGACCATTCTGCTTTGAGTCGTCTATACATATAAAATGGAATTTTTGTGAATATGTGTCTGTTCAAAATGTATAGCGTACTTCCCGACATTCAACAAGCTTGTAATTTGTCATGTGGGTACTTTCCAGACTGTACACCATGCAAAAATTATAAAATTACACTTTTGTGTTTTTGGTGGGGGAAGGGGGAGCGCAATAATGCATGGATTTTTTGCACGGCAAGTGAGTTGTGACGTCACATCTGTCACGTGACCCGCGCATGCGCAGTGCTTGGCGCGCCACGCTACGAACCCGGCGACCCGAGTTCGATTCCCGCTCACGGCCACCACCGGTGGCAATGATTTGAACCGGTCCTGGGACTCCCCTAGGTCGACTCAGCCTCAAACGAGTAACTGCTGTGGTGTGTGAACATCGCCACTTGGGATACAAAGGCGGCCGGGCGTGGTGAATCCAAGTCCCGGGCGAAGCCGGGTAGTTAAGCTAGTATTCCTAAACAGAGCTGCGGTGCCGGATAATTTGGATTTTCGTGACTGCTTCTCAAAGTGGAAGCTGACAGAACTCTACCATTTCTGGATATTCTGCTGGGACGGGGTCGAAATGATAAAATAACACACGGTGTTTACCGGAAGAAAACGCATACTGACGCCTATCTGAATGCAGAGTCACACCATCACTCCATCACAGAAATCTGCTCTCATCAAGACGCTCATTCATCGAGCTAAGAAAGTGTCAGATGGTGACAGTCTGAGAAGTGAAATTCAACATGTTAAAGAAGCGCTGCAAATTAATGGTTACAATGATGCACAAATCAGCAGGGCATTGAATACCAAAAACCAAATAAAATAACGAGAGCATTGAAACTGCCCAAGTAATTTAAACGATCAAAATACCGTACATTGCGGGAGTAACTGATGAATCAAAACATCTGAGTCAGATTTGGCATGGTACATAAAATACAGAATTTAATATCTGGTACAAAAGATATATTACCGAAGCTATCTCCAGGTGTGTACAGGATTAACTGTACGTGTGGTAAATGTTATGTTAAGCAAACAGGACAAATGATCAGCACGGGACTAAAAGAACATCAGAGAAATTAAATTCTCCCAAATACAACCGTCAGCAGTAGCAGAACACGCGTGCCAAAAAGGACACTCAATTGATTTTGGTAATGTTGAAGTTTTGTGGAAAACTAGCTACTACTGACCAAGACTAATTAGATAATCTATCGAAATTGAAAGAAAGCAAAATAACTTTAACCGTTCGGATAGTTACGGTCTTAGTGCTGCGTGGAAGCGAATAATCAAATAATAAATTATTTAAATGCATGCCTACAAAGGGCAGCGTACTTCAATAGGGATTACCATTGGTACGGCTATTTTAATAAACACAATAGACAGGAAGGACAAGTTCAAAGGGCTCCCATAATGCACATGCATAATGTACCTTGCCTCAGTAATCTCCCCACCCACCCCCCACATTGTGCAAGAGCGCAGAAGCGTGGTCACCACATCTACTCCTCTATGTAAGGAATGAAACAGTAAGACTTCTCCACAAATCTGGCTTTCACCTGATGAAGCTAGTTGTAATTACTGGCGAAACGTCGTACTCGATTATAAATGTTGTGGCTTGGCTCTCCAACACACCGGTGTGCTGTACTAGTATACTACACTATACACTACACTATACACTACACTACTATACACGCCACTACTATACACTACACTGTACACTGGTGCTGTACTAGTGACGAATTGGTATGCTCTGTTTATGTGACAACCCTTACTAGTTGGCTGTGTCGGGTGTTGAAGGGTTTTAACGACACAATTATATATTTACGCGATCTAAACCCAAAAACCTCTATTATGGATATTGGTCGCGAAAGCCTACGTATTAAACGAACTGATTTTAAATGTATAATTTACATTACTTATACGCAATCGACTTTAAAATGCAAGATTCTGTGCGCGTATTTTAAGCAGAAGAATCCCTTTCAAGAGTCAACGATTACAAAATAAAACAGAAATGTACTTTAGTTTCGACGATGCAAAACCAAAAAAAAACACAAAATAAGCAGACAGTAACGAACAATATCAGTAGACCCACGTTCAACGTTCACAATTTCGTGAACGGAGCGCATATTTTTTCATGCAACTCAGAGGAGGTTCAAGACCCAGCTCCGTGTCGATTGACAGTTTTGCTGGAACAGGTGCACTGTGGAAGTAGTCGGTTATTGGACGGCTACATAATACGAAGGGGAATGGAGTTCCAGACGGCGGGAGCATTTCACGAAGAAGCGACGGTCAGAGGTCACGGGGCCATCATTTGGGGGGGGGGGGCGATCAACAGATCAAGAGACGTAGTAATAGGTTTTTACCCTTTTATCTGGCACAAAAACTGACACCTTTATACAAGGGATCATGTTTGCAATAACCACAACACAAGCAGTCAAAATGCAACCAAAATGAGACAACTCTGATAATGATATGCACTGTCTTTGAAATTGATTGGTCCACACCCGAGACAGATTTTCTTAGAGCCTAGTCTCCACTGTTGTTGGACCAGAAGACGCCCAAAGGCGTACAACTCAAAAACAGCACACTATCAGAGTATTGAGAGCTCGGTGGTAAGCATTTACACTATGAGACCTCCTTTGCCAGGACTGTGCAGTGAACGGCGGTGGTTTTCTGATGGAAAGGAAGAGCAATGTCGCAAGGCATTGTGGGAGATACAGAAAAGCAATGGCACCGACTTTAGGACCTCGGCTCAGGAAGCCCTTTCACGCGAGAGTTCAGCGCTTCGTTGACACCTGATGATATTGGTTGTAACATCTAGCGAAAGATCGTACACAAAACCCTCAAAATGTTGCCCGCTTTTCAACAATTCTGGTTTTTAATTTAACAAAAATCACTTGGCATTTTTGTCCACTTGACAACTTTATTCCATTGGCTCTGTCGGGTGCTGGAAGGTTCTCGTGAAAAATTTTCATCATGCCTACACAATGTAAACCAAAATAAGCCAATTATAAATTCGCAAGCACGTTGTCCTCATTCCAGGACGATTTGCAGATATTTTTGTGCCGAACTCAAAGGCTCTGATATACACGCCTTTTAAATTCCACTTTTGACACGATTAGCAATTATTTCAGAGAAAACAACGCAACTGTTATGTATATTTTAAGGTAGGACATAAAATCGTACATTCTTAAGTCTCACACTTGACATGTAATTCGGATGTTTCCCTACATCTGTTTCACATTATCGCGTTTAAAAATTGACGTTTTCACAGTCCTGCTCGAATTAAAACGATCAATGGGTGTGTTCCCATGAAAATGACAGTTAACTTTCGATATGAGATTGTCATAAGCCACTTAAACAATTATTCGACGAAAAAATATTATGCAAACAAAAGCTTAGTACGCACATGGAGGATGACTTTCCAGTTCCACGATGCCATGCTGTACATAGTTTGACATTAAAAGTAATCAACTATCACCATTTAAATGTATATCCCTGCATTGAAAGTGTTTATCACTTCTGTTCTCTCCGTGGTCGCGTGGATTTTATCTGCATCCGCTGGTTTTTCCCTCCACATTTTGAATCAACGTGTCTCCTATACGTTTCCCACGTGATGAACCGCTTCGTTCAGCTATCATTGGTGGCCAGGTCGCTTCTGAAAAAGAGCTACATAGCTCACTGGGCCTTACTTGGTAAAATAAAATAAAAATCGCTTGAAATAGTAATAGTTTAATATATATAGTTGATTTGCTTATTTCGCT